CCTCAGCCCCCTCTTCACATCAGAGTCCTCAGCCCCCTCTTCACATCAGAGTCCTCAGCCCCCTCTTCACATCAGAGTCCTCAGCCCCCTCTTCACATCAGAGTCCTCAGCCCCCTCTTCACATCAGAGTCCTCAGCCCACTCTTCACATCAGAGTCCTCAGCCCACTCTTCACATCAGAGTCCTCAGCCCACTCTTCACATCAGAGTCCTCAGCCCCCTCTTCACATCAGAGTCCTCAGCCCCCTCGTCCTCAGCCCCCTCTTCACATCAGAGACCTCAGCGCCCCTTGACATCAGAGACCTCAGCGCCCCTTGACATCAGAGACCTCAGCGCCCCTTGACATCAGAGACCTCAGCGCCCCTTGACATCAGAGACCGCAGAGTCTCTACAGCAGCATGCCAGAGGTAGGGAGGAGGAGCAGGCCTGAACCAAGATGAATTTCCATCCTCTTCTGAATGTATATCACCCTCCCCAGCCTGGAGTCATTCATGTTCATCTTTCCATGGTGCTGGTGGATCTGGATTCATTATTGGTTTGAGAGTTTAATACTACTGTAAAGTCGAACTCCAAGCAGATCGGAAACCCCCATTTCAGTGCAGGTCTGCGGTAATTCATACTTCATAAAATGCATTTTTAAGTAACCAGTTAAAGTGTTCTCATCTATATGCTGGCTGTAGACAGGAGCCAGATGGAAGCAGTGTTTTGTCATCCAGCATTTCCCTTATAGAGAGGACTTAGGATATGAATAAACAGGGCCATATGAAATCGGAACTCACTGTTTGTACAGTCTGAGCACTGTTTCATCTATAACTGCAAATCTTCTTTAAATAGGAATACATTATGTTTCTGCTCTTATGATGGAATGTACAGTAAGGTAAGCGGAGATGAAAACAGATCACTACCTCACTGGGGGAAGATAGGAGTACGAGGAGGCCAGCTTTGCTCTGGACTGGAGGAATGTCATTGCTGTTATATTCACGTTTCCTGTGCGTCTTAACAGACCCCGATCCACACCATCTGCACATTCAGGATGCCAGAACCATTGCATCTTGTCTCCTTGGCACATATGTTTCAGGGACGGCCATTTCCTGGACATGTGCACATTTATTGAGGTTTATTCAATGTATAGAAGGAGCGAGTGATTTGTACATCTGTATCTTTCCAGACTTCAATTCCCAAGATCGAAACAGCAGGAGACTTCAGCCCTATAAAGGTCAGCCTGAGAGAGGAGCATCACCACTTGAGGACAATAGGTAACATCTCACAAGTACACAATTGCCTTGTTAACACATTAATTTCGGATTCCTAAAAATACCAGTTGTCGGGTTGATGTGCTGATCCAATGACTTTGATACTTTCCCTGTACCTGGCCTGGGCAAGTGTTCAGATCAAGTTCTCACTGCACCATGACATAAGCTGCTCATGCACTGGTTGAATTTTGGCTAAGTCCTTCTGACTCAGCCAAAAATTGAGCAGTGCAAGGCCCAGTCAGCAGCCCTCCAATGGACAAAAGTTGACTTTTCAGACTCCTAAAAATACCAGGTGTGTGCTTGATGTGCTAATCCGTTAGCTTTGATACTTTTGGAGTCCCTGACCTGGGCAAGTGTTCAGCTCGAGCAGTGACTGCACCATGAGCTAAGCTGGCCATACACTGGTTTAATTTCGGCCAAGTCCTACTGACTTAGCTACATTTTCGAGCAGTGTATTGCCCAGTCAGGAGCCCTCTGTTGGACAAAAATTATTTTTCAAATGACTTTGTTGAAGGAGCTGATCTGAAAAGTCTTGCTCAAACAGTGACTCCAGCCAATCGGGATACAATCAGCATGCGATAGCCTGATAAGGAACCCTACGCGTTTCCAAAACATTATAATGAGGGCCGGATTTCCCACAAGACCAACCAAGGCCCGACCTCGGGGCAGCAGGGAGTAAAGGGGTAGCAGGGGTGTGGAATTCCTATCTTCTGGTGCCGGGCGGCTAGCTGTTTTCTACATTTAGCTCTGCTTCGGGCAAGCAGAACTAAATGTACAGCGGGGAAGATTCGCTTGTGTTGTACAAGTGATCTCTGCGACATTGTATGCAGCTTGCAGGTCTGCCATTCTCCATGGGGTTGGCGGGTAGGGGGGCACATTGAGGAACCTGGCCTTGGGGCAGAGAGAGCAAATCCAGCCCTGATTATAATCATATGCTGCAAACCTGTCAATGAAGACGAGAATCTGAAGCGAATCGCTGTGGGTGACATATCCTTTATTTTGTAAGCCGCGGCACCATTCACCAGTTGTTCCAGCACCCAACTCACAGGGGTACGTTGGTATGGTGTGTGAAGGAGATATAACCATAATATATGGTGGAGGAATCCCACCTCCATGGATGGGGGAATCAAGAGTTTTTCCTCATGCAGCCTGCAGGGCTGGACGAGAAAAAAAGCTATAAGTCTATAGCCAGCCTTAGAAAGTATTGGAGCCAGAGGTCTAGTTTATCAACCAGGCAACTGCCATTTTCAGATACCAGTCAGCAGTGGCAGTGCCCGTATTTCTCTCAGCTCAGGTTTACTTTAAGAAAACAACGCAGGACACCAGGCTTTTGCGATTGGTCTTTAAAGTGTACCTGAGACTTTGTGATGTTACACTGACCCCCATGCATGTTCAGTTTATTTTCAGAGCACCTTGGTAGCCCCCAAACCTGGAGCGTTGTATTATGCAAACTGCAGTCTGAGCTTGTGCGGTTGTGTTTTGCCACTCCCCTCACCCCACCTCCTGCATATCGCTTTTGGCCATTAAACATGATTGACCGCCTCACTGGCCAATAGGTGTTATTAGGGTGGTTGCAAGAGTTGGGGGGGACAGAGCACAACCACGCAAGCTCTGGTTAAATGGAGGCGCCAACTCTAAATTCCTGAGGCCAGTAAAACGCATTGGACAGATCCACAGTTTCATTTTTAGGGACTGAGTGGGGACGAATAATTTATATCATTAAAAAAAATAGGCTTTTAAATGGAAGTCGTTCATGGCATCTCTACAGAGATCACATTTATGGAGAGACGTGTCTCAGTACTCGCAGTGTTTCACAGCCAAGCTCCATTATTCTAGAGCCGCTGCCAACGCTTCCCCTGGCACACATCATCCCTTCCTGAATCTATTTCCGTCATGCTGCCATTAAGTTTTCTGTCCTCAAGATATCAGAATACAGGAACTCGCAGCTTCTCCCCATGCCTATAATCTGCCCGCTTTAATGACCTAACGCTGGCTGTCTTCACAGGAACTACTATAACGCTGGATAATGTGACCACAATGTAATATAGACGAATAAGTGACCTATAATGTCCCTAGCCACAGCATTGATGTCATTCTCGGTTATACAGGAAATCACTAAAAGTCGATCAGTTATAAAGTATGAATTTGTTGATTCAAGAAACATTCAGTCCTTCATAAAGTTTTTGGCAATGGGCAAACCGTGACAGTCCATTTATTGGAGAACTACTGGTCTCAGCATGACCTGTCCTTTGCAGTTGTCATGTTAAAGTATACAGGGTTCACCACTCATCTATTTAATTACAAGCGCAGATTCTACGTCTGCAAAACAAAACACATAGAACGCCTCCATCGCGTAAAAACTTTGTATTAAAATACATTTAAACAAGTGCAATAATACTCACCAAATTGGTTCTGACGAAGGAGGCGTGACCTCAGAAACGCGTAAACCATCAGGGAGGACGAACAGCCGGCTGGCTAAGTCCCTCGTGTTCATATCATTTCATGCCTGTTTTAACTCGACTTTTGTGAGTATTATTGCACTTGTTTAAATTTATTTTAATAAGTTTTTACGCGATGGAGGCGCTCTCTGTGTTTTGTTTTGCAGTGCTGAGGTTTCCCTAAAACCTATTGAGAGCTGCCTCGTTAGCGTCCTATACCACGATCACTGCAGACTGTCTCCTTTCCTGGACTCAAGCCGTTGGCGCTGTGTTATATATTGTTTGTAGGATCTACGTCTGATTAAGGGAGGGTAAGGCACTGCGTGAACCTGATTAAAATGTAGGTCTGCCCAGAAGCGATCTTTTATCTATAGGTAGATTATGATGGCTTAAATGTCTGAGATCTCTGAGATGCTCCGAGATCTCTCTCCCACAATACCACCAGGAAGTTCTGGATGTTCCTGGCCACCTTTTGTGTTCCATCTCCTCTCGATACATCCTGCATAATATAAAATAAATAACAAAAATGGGGAGTGGGGACCCTTATAATGGACGCAGTAGGTGTGCAGTCTCGGGAACAAGGGGCAGATATCTCACTGATCAGACTCCAGAGAGATAAACAAAACTCATTTGGTTTAACTCTCATATACTGTAGAATTCAATATCAGTTTTGTGTTGAGTGACCCTTTGACCACAAAACCTGAATAAAACTGCCTACAGACCTCATATAGCACCCAGGGGTACATGGTGATCCAGCCAATGATTTTTTTTTATTGACCAGAAACTTCCCCAACTCCCTCCAAGAATGCGCAGACAGCCTGCTGGGGGTCTGTGTAATTGGGGCACTAAAAGAGTATTTATGACTGGCTGCTGTGGGTTACTGTACCTAGCACACATAATGGAGAGACATAGCTACAGTATAACTTCCTGTGTGTACAGTATTGGCTGCCAAGCTAGAAAAAGTGAAAAAGTGTTGGTGCCAACACCAGGCAGATATAACAATTAGCTTTCTGTAATCCCCTACAAAGCACAACATTGGCGCTAGGAAAGGGAGGGGAGTGCCTGCAGATCAGGCTCAGATGCACTGCATGGTTCTGTCAGTCTAACGCTGGGAACATACTTGCAGTTTCAGAGGGCACAGGGATGACCTCATCGATGCTTTTTCATTATCCAGTCATCAGGCTTGCAGCAAGGTGAGACTGTGTCCTATTCCTTATCTGTAACAGAGAAAGCAAACAACCTTCTGGCTATAAAGTGTGGCAGGGGTATGTGAATCACAAAATTGGATTAACAGAATCACAAATATATTGTCAGGTAAAACACTTTACATCTATGTATTCCCACTCTGTAGGTAGCTGATTGGCCTGAGTTCAGCAGTATCCTGCAGGATTTCAAATAAAGACATCTCTTACAGCAATACTCACCTTCTCTCCAGCACTGCCCTCCACAGACTCACCACTCTGTGATCCAGTGCCCGTCTTCTGGGTTGAATGACATCCATAAGAGGACCCAGCTACTTCCTGTGATGGGCTCTGTGGTGTATATGGCGGGCTGCGCAGGGTCTCAGGGGGGCAGCCAGCAGAGCCCACCACAGACCCTGCACAGCCCCCTTGAGGGTCTCAGGGGGGCTGTGCAGGATCTGTGGCGAGCTCTGCGGGGTCTACAGTGGGCTCTGCAGGGTCTGAGGTGGGCTGTGCGGGGTCTATAGTGGGCTCTGCAGGGTCTCAGGGGGGCTGTGCAGGATCTGTGGTGGGCTCTGCAGACCCTGCACAGCCCACCTGAGACACTGCACAGCCCACCTCAGACCCCAGCTTTCCTGGTACGCTAGTAGCAGAACATGTCAAAAGTATCCAGCAAATTTAATGTGTGTGTGGGGGGGGGGGGGTGCCTGAATTTCGTCTTGCCTAAGGCAGCCCCAAACCAGAATACACCACTGGTGAGATATCTGCCCCTAGTTCCTGAGACTGCACAGCTACTCCTCCAGCCTGTGACTGGACAGTGAAAGGAAAAGCAGCCGACTGATGAGCTGATCTCTCTGTCACTCTCTACTCTCTCCTCTTATCAGTGTACCAAGTCATAATTCACATACTTGCAATAAATACATTGGGATGATGTATAATGAATACAGAGCTGTATTAATTTGTGTCCTTTATCTCTTTTGAAGTTCATCTTTAATATACATGAGAAAATAAAGAAAGCTCAGATTGGGCCTTAAAGGGCAGCTGTCAGGATGGCTTCCGTTGTCCAACTCTTGGAAATAGTGCTGCTTCCAGCACCAAGCTCTCCAGTGCCGTATCACACGCAATTACGCACTTGGCACGGCTTCTCTGACTACGCCAATGGTGACCTCCAGCACTAGACGGGAGCCTTGGCTGTGGCTGGTCTTGATAGGTTCCCTTTTAATCAGCCCAATACATTTCTTTCCCTCTGAGCAGTGGAAAGGAGAAATGCTCCAGATGGAAACAAATGAAGTCATTCCTTGTTTGCACTGATACAGGGATTTGTGGCTACCTCATTCCACCGCCTGGCTGTCTACATGGCTATCCACATTCCTCGCACATCTGCAATATAACTTTTCTATTTGTCTTCCTCCCCGCAATGTGTAGACAAGCTGCAGATCCAGGTCAAGGAGGAGAAGTCTGAGGGAGGAATTAATTACAGCAGTTTAAGAGCGACTTCAGCCAAAAACACCAAGGTTCTGGAAGATATCAACACCAATTATTTTGCTGCAACCGAAGTAAGTCATCTCGGAGGTGCGCACAGTAGCACGCGCTCAGTCCCAGCCAAATGCACACGAAAATAAACATCCGGACTAGAAAAGGAACAATGCAAATCGCTGCCAGTTCACCTAACATAGTATCAATATCGATTACAGTTATAAAAATAGACGTTTAACAGGAGTCCACTGCTTCTTCTCTGCCTGCTCTGAAAGTTCACTTCAAATCAGCGAAGTACATTCCAGGTCCATCGAAACACGGGCTGTGCAAAGTCCTACAGATGCTTCTCCATAAACACAGCCACAGCTTGAATAGAAAATCCTGTCCCCTGCCAGCCTGCTGCAGACATGGACCCTTGCTCTCAGTGAAAGTAGTGGTCTTTCTGTAGCAGTCCAATAACCCTCCCCACCCCCAACCCCCCCCACACACACACACACACACACACACACACACACCTCCAACTCCACCGGGTCAGAGCTAGAGCTCCAATCAATGGCTCTGATTCAGCACAGGGCTTGATGGACCTTGACAGAGATACCACTGCTTCCACCCAGAGAACAAGAGTATGCTGGCAGGAGACGAGCTTTTCTACTCAGACTTTGGCTGCTTTCTAAACAAAATGAACTGTATAATTGTGCACACCTTTTTGTTTTGATGCTTCTGGAATGTATTTAGCTCAGACAGTAAAAACTGAAAGTACTGTTGAGAAAGGAAATAATTACAGGTGCTGAGGACCTATTTTTCTAAATGCTAGTTGCCTGGTTATTATCCTGATCCTCTAGGGGTCTGTAGCCTATTCGCCTCTAGTGTCCCGCCCTGCTCCTAGCAACCAGGGATGCCAGAGCATCCCAGGTTGCTAAGAGCTGGGCAGAGAGATGTGTATGGCTCTTACACATCTCCCCACCAGTTCTTAGTAACCAAGGACGCTCTGGCCAGAAAGGGGGCAGCAGGCACACTGCAAACACTATGTAGCAAAGCACTGTGCCGCTCTGCCTGCCCCCCCCCCCTACATGACCCAAAGAGATGCCACCTGAGACTGCATCATTACAGGGATGGCCCTGTTTCAGCGATGGTAGTTTTCATGTTTCTCTACAGTGCTTCGTGGGACTTGTAGTTCCACAACACCCAAAGTGCCAAGGTTGCTTACTCCTGCTATATACTATCTTGTATGCCAGGTTAGACTTTTTAATGATGTTCTTGTGTTGCAGGATGGTGAATTAGTGTACACAGACTGGAAGATGGAGAAAGATGGAGAAACGGGAAGGTTCATTAGTAAGTGCGATCCCTACGTTATCACACATCAGACCAGCTGCTTATTATCAAAAGTGTCAGAAGAAAGAACCATTTCTGTAGCAACCAATCAGAGCCTCCTTCTTTTATCCATGATGTAAATGGGGAGCCTGGAAGGGAAACAAATGATTGGTTGCTATTGTAGCAAAGAGCTCTTTCCTCAGATACTTTAAACTTCAGGCAGGTCAATTATTTAGTTTGTAACAGACCTGACCATACACATTGATGGCAAAATCTGACTAATATAGGTGACCATCACTTGGGCAGCCCTCGTACATTCACAGACCGCGGGCAGAAGTCAAAAGTGGTTCATACATGGTCTGATTATTGGCAGGGAATGTCTAATACAGCTCATCTCTTTGCACCTCACAAACTCAGAGCTGTCATCCTCATCCTTGGTCAGGTCATTGGCCTGGAACAATAGGTACACATCAGGCGTCCCACCACATCAATGGCTGCCTCTTTGTTCCAGATCAGCAAGTAGTGAAGAAAGAATAAGAAAGACCAATCAGGAATTTGCACCCTCAAAAACAAATAAGCAATGTTATCTCCCGATTTCCTATTCTATTGAGGCCCAATGTTTAAACCAGAATGTTTTCTGTCTTCCTTTACCCTGTTCATGATAGCCTATGAGAATGGATATTATTCAGCTTAGAACATACACTATATGGCCAAAGGTTTGTGGACACCTGACCATCACACCTATATGAACTTGTTGGATGTCCACTTCCAAAAGCATAGCCATTGGAGTTGGCCTCTTTGCAGCCATAACATCCTCCACACTTCTAGGAAGGGTTTCCACAAGATTTTGGAGTGTGTCTGTGGGAACGGACCTGTCAGGTACCTGGCTGAAGACCAAGGTGGCAAGGCGGTAACCGTGCATCTCTTGCCCCACACCTCTGGAGATGGAAACAGAGAATGTGAGGACGTAGAGTGACACAGACGCTTGTGCTGGCAACTGGACGAGGTCTTGTGCGGATGACGCAGATGCTCGAGGTAGAGAAAGTAGCAGGCAAGTCTGCCGAGATCGGATGACCTGGAGAACCTCTGGAAGCCTGAGCTGGAGAGCTTTGTGCCAAGGGTGACCAGACACCGGACAGCAGGATAACCAGGAACCAGAAGGATGGCCAGAATCGGAGTCAAAGCCGTAGATGAGGTCATATACAGGAGGGTAGAGTAGCAGTGGTACCGGAGCAATAGGCAGGAGCAGGGTCAGGATCATAAGACAGGGTCATACACGTGTCAGTGAAGTCATGAAGTACCAGATCAGAGGACAAGAAGTGAGGTCCAAGGGTCACAAGCCAGGTTCATACACAAGGAAGCAGGAACGCAGGATAAACACAAGAATAGCCGACGACCACACAGCAAGTGCTCATGCAGGACCGTGCACCATGGTTCCATTCATTGGAAACACCTGAACTCAGGCATTTGCACATTCTTTTAGCCATATAATGTATCTAAAAACTCACTCTGTAAATATTCAGTAGACCACATTTAGTGGACCACATCTTTGCTTTGATGTAAATATAACGTAGAATGTTTTACGAACAAAGTTCCTCTGTTTATTTGGCATCACCAGGCTCCAAACCCACGCAGTTCCATGTCGCACATGATGGCCTTGTTCACACTGTGCAGAGATCTCCATTCTTAAAGGACATTGTTCTCACTGTTGGAGGCTGGAACTTTGCCATATGGAAAGAAGGTGTCACCGTAAGTATTACAGTATCTTTGGATTGGCACAGTGGTCTCCAGTACTTAGAAACCCAATGAGGCACAGACAGTAAAAACAAAACAAAAATGACAGTTGTTAACTGTTTCCTATTCTCTTGTGATCATGAAGACTACATGTGACTGGGATCCATTCCCCTACCTCGGATATGATGGATCATGCATGAAAATAGAATTCTTAAACTGTTTTAATGATCACTGTCTTGTCGTTTTAAGAATGGGCCGATTCTCCAGTCTTGCTGCTCTCAGAAGAGGTACACGGCAGCCCACTGGTCTCTGTCCAGGAGCGGTGTCTTCTTCATTGGAAAGGAAGACGGAAACGTGGAGATATGGGACCTGCTAGACAAGACGCACGAGCCTTCACAGACACAGAACATCTCAGCAGCGGCCATTACGTATATCAAACCATGGATTGTGTCCGGTAAGGGGATCGGAGATGGTGACCTCTAAGGTTTTCAGGGATGACAGGACTAGGGACATCTAACTGCAGCATAGGCTTCATTTACTAAGAAAGATGAATTATCTTATCTCAGGATTATTTTCTATTACCCGTCCATGACATCCACAGGGCCTCCATTTTCACCTTGGGACACCTGATGCAGAACCAGAGACCACTGTGTTTATTTTAAAGCAAATCCATCCAGGGCAAAGTGACAGCTTTTCCTTAACCTGCTTGTTCCTATTAGGACATACTTACCGTTTCTTTTTTGCCCCACCGATCTATTCAGTGCCAGGAGCTGAAGGAATTGCCTGGTACTTTTAGGTATGGAGGAGCATGTGACACACTCCATGTGACAGAGCGAGATAGTTAATTGGTTCAGCTCTGACAAATGGAATAGTGCATAGCCTTGCCCCTGTCTACACTATGATGGGTGAAAGAAGAGTTGTGGGAGCCGGCTTCCCGGCCAATCAGGAAGCTGGGCAACATGTAATGACTCGCTGCCTGGCTTCCTGATAGCGGAAGTTCGGGTATCGGGCTAGGCATCGGACCTAATTATTATCATCATGATTATTATTATTACAGCTAAGCAGCACTTCCTGGCCCTGGCAGACGACAGCGGGACCCTGCATGTTCTAGAGATCCCCTGGACCCTCCATCACCCCTCCGTCAGTGAGGTTTGTGCAGAGAGCTTCTTGTTTGGTGAAGTAGTTGAAGTTGTTTTTACTGCAGCGGAGATGTTTTATTTGATCTGGCTTTAGACACGCTTGCACAATATTTGCTTTTCAGCATTCCTTTATTGCTCCTGAGATATGCTTTCCTACTTTAGTGGCAAAACAGATGAATTCTTTTGGGGGGCGACCTGCACTAATGTACTGTTTGGGACAAACTAGTTGCGGTTTCCACGACAACCAGACAGGAGACGCTTTAACACAGGGCATACGCCGACAGGAAGTTGGCTTGTCCCTGATAACATCAGACATTGTATGATAAGCTGAAAAGCTTGGTTTGATGTTGTACTTTTAGCGTAGTTACACTTATTTTAACCCCCTCCCCCCCTCTTCCGGGTCTATAGTCACCTGCAAACATACATAACCAACATAATGGCTATGTGGCCCCTTCGGAGCCGCTCAAGCTCTGGTCATGTCAGCTCAAATTCACTGCAACCTCCATTGGGTTCTGGAAGAGGAAGCAGACAGTGAAGATGTAAAGACAAACTGGCGCAAATTGCGCTAACAGTGGGAGCTGCTAAAGACGCATGGTTAAATAATCGCAGAGCCTATTCTACTATGGGTCAAGCATGTGCAACACACAGAGTGCAGGGGTCAGGAGTGTGTGACACACGGAGTGCAGGGGTTCGGGAGTGTGTGACACACGGAGTGCAGGGGTCGGGAGTGTGTGACACACGGAGTGCAGGGGTCAGGTGTGTGTGACACACGGAGTGCAGGGGTCAAGCGTGTGCAACACACAGAGTGCAGGGGTCAGGAGTGTGTGACACACGGGGTGCAGGGTTCAGGAGTGTGTGACACACGGAGTGCAGGGGTCAGGAGTGTGTGACACACGGAGTGCAGGGGTCAGGAGTGTGTGACACACGGAGTGCAGGGGTCAGGAGTAGGTAACGCATAGAGTACATATGTCATTAGTAGGTAATGCATGGAGTACAGGGGTCATGAGTAGGGGACAGTAGTAAGTAACGCAGGATTCAGGGGTCAGTGGTAGGTAATGCAGGGTTCAGGGTAAGTGACGCCGAGTCCTAGAGGCAGCCATCAGAGCATGTACAAAACTGTCTGTATATGACTGCAGTTCACTGCCACCGAGGCAGAAATATCTCAGGATGTAGAAGGTGGCACAAAGTCCAATCAAATCTTGCCTTACAGAACACTGGTGTGCAGCTTTACTTCGAGAGGGAAGTGAAGCATCTGGAAGACTTTGAACAGCGAAAAGCCTTCCGGGCCTCGGAGAAGAGATCGTTGGAGATAGAGCTGAGCAAACAAACTGTAAGTGAGAATTTACACAACTAAGGCACGCATCTCTGTTTTCTAGCCGGCCACCTCCAGATTCAGGTTATAGAGATGACATTTGGGATATCTGAAAATGTCTTTCCACGTTTGGCTAGATAGATGTATACCAAGCACTGGGCTTGCACACAGACTGCATTGGAAACCATCCCACAATAGGCATGACTACAGCCAAATGTCACCAACTGACACCAAGTGCCATCCCAACCAATCAGATAGTAAAACCGATTTCAGTTGTAAAGTGTTATCATCTCCGCTGTACAGAGACACCCGGCATTGTGCTGTGTAAAGATATATATGTACATTATGGAGTTTTGGCTCTTGGACAGAACGCTTCCCAAGGCTGTGTGTATCACTGTTGGTCCATAAGAATGACTGGGAGCCTCACTGACCAGGGGGTAGGTATGGGAGGTAGGTATGTGCTAGGCCAAAGCACCGACATCAGAAATTGGGGTGACACTATAAAAGAGTCCCTGAATTTTGGGGCACCTGCAGTGCTTGGTAGTTTTGTGACGCCTTTAATATATTTGATTGCAGTAGAGGTTTCATTTACAGAACAATTCCTTCAATGTTTCCTCCAAAGTCATAACATCATCCTGAACTATGTCTTCACAATGAGCTGCCATTGCCACACTGGCTGCAAATGAATGCCTGGCTCGGGGGCTCATTCCCACTACAATGTGGTGCTTTTTGTGCAATAAGGCATTGTGCCAGGGGTAGGCAAGCTCGGCACTCCATCCAGCTGTGGTGAAACTACAAATCCCTTCATGCTTCTTAAGGCCGTGACACACTGCATGCGAAGCCGTGCAGAGGGAAGCAAAGCTCTCCGGCATGGAGCTTCGCGTGCAGTGTGTGAGCTGAGTGCAGTCAGATGATTGACTGCACCTTCAGCCAATCGGCTCGTCTGTAACAACCGGCCAGACGTCGCATCGGTTGATACGCGCGAGCCGGTTGGCTGAAGTTGAAATTGTTCATCTCGGCACGCTCAGCTCTGCGAGCTCTCGCAAGCTGAGGTGCCGAGAAGAAAGTGACATGACACACTGCTCGCAAAGGCAGCGCGCCACCGCTTCGCGTGCAGTGTGTCACGGCCTTTAGAGTCGTGCCTGTGACAGTCACTTTTGCAATGCCTCAAGGGACTGGCTACAGCTGGAGTGCCAAGGTTGCCTACCCGTCTTAGGCAGTCCTTTGCTTTCAATGGGCTGTCAGTGCATCGAAGTGCAGGATAAATCGGTCTAATCGATTCTTCAAGACACTGTGCCGCACACACGGATCATCAGTAATGTGTTATGTAATCTGGATTTCTCCGCTTGTTTTCATTGGAAGGAAAGCGCTCCACCAGTGCAGACGAAGGAAGAGCTCGAGGAGGAGATCAGCAAAGAATATGCCGCGTATTCGGCCTTTGAGAGTACCATCCTCACGGGACTCGCTGGTAACGAAACGGAAGAAACAGCCGTGACAAGCTGATTTGTAGAGTTCAAAAACTGTAAAATGATTATTATTGGATGGAAATTTTTTATTTTTTTTAATCTGATTTTAGACTTTGCTCTATGTCAGGGGTAGCAAACCTCCGGCCCTCCAGCTGTGGTGGAACTACAAGTCCCATGAGGCATTGCAAGATTCTCACAGCCACGGGCATGACTCCCGGAGAGAGATGCATCATGGGAGTTGTAGTTTCACCACCGCTGGAGGGCCGGAGGTTTGCTACCCCTGCTCTACGTGGTGTGAAAATGTTGTTCTAGAGCAGGAGTGGGTAACTCCGGCTCTCCAGCTGTGCTTCAACTACAAATCTCAACATGCCTCTGCGAGGCAGGCCTGTAACTGTCAGTCTTGCAATGACTCATGGGACTTGTAGTTTTACCACAGCTGGAGGGCTGAGGTTACCTACCCCGGTAATAGTCTAAGGCAGCGGTCGGCAACCTCATGGACCACTAAATTCAATTTCCTCATATACAAATTTATTCTCGTGTGTGTATGTGTATGTGTATGTGTATATGTATGTATGTATGTATGAATGTATATATATGTATGGGTGTGTGTGTGTGTGTGTGTGTGTATATATATATGTATATATATATATATGTATGTGTGTGTATATATGTATGTATGTATGTATGTATGCACACACACACACACACACACACATATATACATACACACACTATCTATAGATAGATGGGTGTGCCTGCAGGAGTGACAGTGCTGGTGGAGGGCCCGGGGACCACCAAAATAATTTTCTCAGGGACCACCAGTTGGTGACTGCTGGTCTAAGGCACGGGGGAAGGCAACTTTGGCACTCCAGCTGTGGTGAAACTACAAGTCCCATGAAGCACTGCAAGACTCAGAGCCACAAGCAAGACTCTTGGAAGCAGAAGTATGATGAGGTTGGTAGTTGTCACAGCTGGAGTGCCGAGGTTACCTACCCCAGTAATACTCTAAGCCAGGGGTAGGCAACTTTGGCACTCCAGCTGTGGTGAAACTACAAGACCCTTCATGGTTCTTCCTCATGGGATTTGTAGTTTTGGCACAGCTGGAGTGCCGAAGTTTTCTACCCCTCCTTTAAGGCCAGCTGAACCACACACACACACACACACACACACACACACACTCACACACTCTAAAGAAAACACAAAGTCGAGTGTTTTATATATTAACAGTTTACCAGATTGTGTTGTAACAGTTGTTGAATACAAGAAAAAACAATATATATATTTATATATAAATTACATGTAGAAAATACACATTTGAAGCATTTAATAAGAGCAGAACTTTATACAAGTCAATAAGCAAGACCGCGTTCACATTGGGTTGTGTAAACAATTTTACCACAAAATAAAATAAGAAGAGGAAACGTTGTGTGAATATGTAACATGTGGGTGAATAATACAGAGCGGCGTGTCTATGTTACAGGTGCAAAATACTTCAATATTTATGGTTAGAAAGCGGCGCTGGCTGCCTTTAGAAAATCACCGGATTGCGTTGCGTACAAAAATAGACCTTGGCGGTGTATTGTAAAAATATCTGTACCTCATCAGCGCACGTTGAGAGACTTCATCTCCCGAGTCAGCGGAGAAATTCCCAGAACCCCCTGCTGCAAGGTGCTGGCCAATGGCAGGCTTCCGATATGCTCCCGGATACTTGAGCCCGCTCCAACCAATTTCCCAGAACCGCACAGTAACCAGTACTGTCTGTGATCCGGCACTGCAGGAACCATTCATATCTTATACATGCAAATGGGGAACTCTATCAATTAGCAGGGTCCAGGCGTTCTTAAAGGGTTAGTCCATCCAAACTTCACATTTTAGTCTCGGGTGGATTGCAGGGAGCTAAATTGTAGATTTTTGGATTCGATTTGTAAGTTGGGGGAAGGCCGGAACCACTGTCAGGTTTTTATTGCTCTCTTGGCCACAACTAAGGGGTGTATTTGTAAAACAAAGCCCTGCGGAACTGCCACATACATTTACTCCGTGCGAATGGGGCAACAACGAATGTCACTTGTATATTTTGGATGTAATACATTCAGATTAGAGCGAATCAGGAAAATACCTCATTATGGCCACTAGATGACGCTGGGGATCATAGAAGAAAAACCCCTGTGCTCCCCAGCTTCATCTAGTGGCCATAATGAGGTATTTTCCAGATATTACATTCCACCCGGAAAGAAAATATACTAATAACATTCGTTTTAGCCGCCATTCACACAGAACGAATGTCCAATCAGATCCACAGGACAGTGGGCTCTGCAAATGTTTTATAGATACACCCCCTACTGTCCCAGTGACAACGGTTATACCAGACGGCATGTGTGAGGTGAGTTTGGAACTGAGACACAGAGAGCAATATAAAGCCTAATGGGGTTCCAGCATCTTCTCCTCAGAAAAAGCGTTTTGTTTCTGTCGGTGCTGCTGTTGGATACAGAGACAGGAAGTGAGGGGAAATCTCTCCAATGGAGCCCAGAGAGCAGTAATAGAAAAGAGAAAACCAATGCTCTTCAAGTGGCATATTTACAATGCAGCAAATCTGAAAAACAGCAAACATTCTCTGCAGGTGAATCTTTCAGGTGCATGTGTTTTAAAGGATTGATTCTCCACCAGCGAATGTTTGGTGAAAGTCACTGCCTTATAAATAGACTTTTAAGTTAGTGAATTCTTATATCAGTCAGGAGCTTTGCATCCGAGCCCTGCCCACCTTGTGCCTCTTACATTACAGACGATGCAGGAGGAGCCTACAGACAACACCTATAGCCGACTGTATACATTATATACAGGTCATCGCATACAAACATAGAAGAGAGGGGCCGAGAGGTCATAAAGCAAAGCTATACACCAAGGGAGAGCACATGTCAGCCCTTCAATTGCAGTGCAACTACAAATCCCAGAAAGCATTGCAGCCGACAGCCACATACATGACTCCCAGCAGCTTCACCACAACTGGAGGGCCGGAGTTTGCCTACCCCTGGTATAGACTGTGAATAGGGCGTCCTCATACATATGTGTCCAAATACAGATCTGTACTCCTAGAGCCGGGGATACATCTCCCTCACTGGATAAAGTCATAAACCCGGAAGAATGGGGACTGTCAATTGTTTGCATCTGGGGGGCTTGTGGAGGTGGGAGCTGATGGTGGGATTTTACATTATATATATTTATATATGAAGATCTGTATTTACTCTTGGGTATGTATGTATGTATATATATATATATATATAGTGTGCGTGTGCGTGGGAGACTCCTACTGCAGAAGGAAGGAAAAGGAAAGACTCCATGGCTTTGAAAGGAGATCCCATAGCTTTGGGGAGGAGAAAGATACAAGAAGCCAGCAGGTTAATCGAGCCACTGGCATCCACCCGTATGAAGTTTAGGTGGACTGACCCTATAAAAAACAGACCCTTTGTCTACACACAGTTGAGCTTAGCCATTTTATTTGCTAAATTTTACAAAATTTACAAGGAAGATGTCACAGTGC